AGTGAAAAATATGTTTTCAAAACCAAAACCGAAAACTTCTATAAATTAGTAAAACTATTGTTATATTTAAACATATTTTGATTGAAAACAATTAATTTGTAAAACATTTATCTCTTCAAAAACAGTCCAGAATTACCACTGAATGAGTCCATCAATGACTCTAATTGTGATGCAATTGTATTGATTTCATTGAACGCATCGAAAGAGCATTTGAGCGGATCTCTGGCCAAATACGCGCCACAACTGGAAGCGTATGTATCGGCCGATCAGGCCTTCGAGAAAGTGGGAGGAGTTATACCGTTGACCAACGGTTCGGCCAAACGTTTGGTGTATTCACCGGTCGGTCCCATAAACAGAGACTACGACGACGTCCGCCGATTCACTGAAGCGGCCGTCAAAGGAGTCCAAAGAGCGTTGAGCGCCGGCGCGAAGAAGCCGTTAGTCGTCTTACCGACCAATAGTGACCACTTAAAGGCCTATAGTCTCTATGATTTAGCCACTCTTTTGGGCGCCTATTCTGCTCTTTATGTGGTATTTATTCATTCATTTAAATTTCATTTGATTTCTGGTTATTCTCACAAATAATTTCCAAAAGCCTTTAGAGATCAGAGAAGCGGTTCCCTTGAAGTCCAAAAAATTGGATTCAATTAATTTCACAAACTTCTCGTCCGATGGAAGAACTCAAGTGGCGTATCGTATGGCGAATGCCATCGAAAGCGGACGATCTGTGGCTCGAGATATCGGCGGATCCGATCCCGAAAGAATGGCCGCACCAAATGTGGCCACTTATGTGCAGCAGTTGTTCCAGAACTCTGCGGTCAAAGTCAATATCATCAGTGATGGCAAACAAATAGAGAAAGACTTTCCCTGTTATGGTATTCAATATAATGCCATTCAATATTCAATATACAATGTATTAATTATAGTAAATTAATGAGAATCTAATCGATAGCTGCTGTGAATCGAGCGTCCGTTGAGAGACATCAGGCGAGGGCTATATTCTTGAGTTACGATCCGCCGGAAAAAGTAACCAAAACATTGATATTTGTGGGAAAGGGAGTCACTTACGACACGGGCGGAGCCGACGTAAAGGCCGGCGGACACATGGCTGGTATGGCTAACATTGACATCACATTTTCAATTAATTTTTATAGTAAAACTTTAATGTGAATGAAGGCATGCATCGAGACAAGTGCGGTGCGGCGGCTGTGGCCGGACTCTTCCAAACTGTCGCTCAACTTAAGCCCAAAAGCACTCGAGTGTTGGGCGTTATGGCGATGGTTCGCAACAGCATTGGATCCNGTAAAACTTTAATGTGAATGAAGGCATGCATCGAGACAAGTGCGGTGCGGCGGCTGTGGCCGGACTCTTCCAAACTGTCGCTCAACTTAAGCCCAAAAGCACTCGAGTGTTGGGCGTTATGGCGATGGTTCGCAACAGCATTGGATCCAATAGCTATGTGGCCGACGAGATCATCACTTCTCGGGCGGGCGTTCGCGTCCGCATCGGCAACACCGACGCCGAGGGCCGGATGGCAATGGTTGACTTCGTCGCCTACTATAAGGAACTCATTCTCAAAGACAATTACGTCAATCCGTCCATCTTTACGATCGCCACACTGACGGGTCACTGTTGTCTGGCCGTCGGCGACAACTACACCATCATTCTGGACAACGGACCCGCGCGTCAGCTCAGAACCGCCGAAACCATACAAACCGCTGGCCATGAGATCGGCGACCCGTTCGAGGTGTCGACCATTCGTCGCGAGGACTACGAGTTCAATGTGGGAAAGTCTGAGTACGAGGACATACTTCAGTGCAATAACGCGCCGTCTTCTCAAACAGCGAGAGGACATCAAATGCCCGCAGCTTTTCTCATACAAGTGTCCGGTTTAGACAAACACGGCTTGGATTCCTCGAAACCAATCCCATTCTCGCATATAGATATCGCCGGCTCTTCGGGTCCCTTCCCGGGCATTCCGTCCGGCGCTCCGATCGGTACCTTATTTTAAATCCTAATACTTTAAAACAATTTCTAAGTTTTCCTTTATTTACAGCCGCTTTGACCACAAGATATCTGTTGAAAGAGGACTAAAAGAGCGAACAAATCAATTAAGAAATTACACGATTTTAATAATCAATTATGAATTTTGGGAAATTTGATAACACATTTGATAAAACTATTCAAAATCAATGACATTATTATAAAAATTAATGACTAGTAAAGGGAAATAAAAAACATTAAATTGATTCTTAAACGACAATGATTTAAAAATTGACACATAATTATAAAATGATTTCACTTTAACCCATAAGTGGTGAACGTTTTGCTATAAAAGGATTATAATCGCCGAACGCACAGCCCT